AGAAAGAAAGAAAGAAAGAAAGAAAGAAAGAAAGAAAGAAAGAAAGAAAGAAAGAAAGAAAGAAAGAAAGAAAGAAAGAAAGAAAAAGAAAGAAAGAAAGAAAGGTGGGCTTGACAAGAAAACACAAGTTAGGTTAATAGGCCCCATCAACATACGAGAAAAATTCCTCAGCAAAATACTAGCAAACCAAATTCAACAGAACGTTACAAAAGAAAAAAAAAAATCATCTGAGTGTGGTGGTGTGTGCATTCAGTCCCAGTGCTTGGGAGGCAGAGGCAGGCAGATCTCTGTGAGTTCAAGGCCAGCCTGGTCTACACAGTGAGTTCCAGGACAGCCAGGGCTACACAGAAGGGACCCTGTCTCAAAAGAAAAAAAAAAAAAAATCACTCATCAGTATCAGGGAAGACGTAATTCAGGAATTCGAGACACAAATTGGCAAACGTGGTATACAGAGTTAGCAGAATGAAGATCAAGGAAGATACGACATAGAAAGAGCAACGGTATGGAAGGAACATTTGGCAAACTTCAGACTTCTCTGATTTAAACAGAAACTCAGGAATTTAGGTATTGAAGGAACTGACGTCATACGGTAACAGCCACATGTGACCAACCCACGGTTGACATTATACTCAACAGTGAAAAAATTGAACACTTCCATTAGAAAACAAGGCACAAGACAAGGACTTTCCCTTCTTTGCCACTGAACACTGGAAGTCATAACCAGAGAAATCAGACAAGAGAAAAAAGTCATTTAAATTAAAAAGGAAAAAAATAAATAAAATTGTCCTTGTTTATAGATAACATAATCATACAGAAATCTTGAAGATACAGCTAAATTAAAAAAAGACCAGTAAAATTGTAGAGTACAAAGTCAACATACAAAAACCAACAGCTTTTCTACACAGCAACAGAGAACTCCCTGAAAAAATCATCAAGGAGGCAATCTGCTCCCAACAGCTACTAAATAAATAAAAAAATAAACAAATCACTAAGGGGCAGATTTAATCAAGGTAATTAAAATCAAGGTGTTAGGCTGAAAACTAAGGTATTGATGAAGAGAATTTTAAAAGATACAAGTAATTGGGAATATATTCATGGAACAGCTTAAATGTGCATTGAGTATATTTTTTTAAGGGGTTCAGATGATGAAAATTTGGTCCCCGGCCTGGCAGTGTTGAATGTGGAAAATGCTTTAAGGGCAGGCCCTGTGGGAGGGATTAGATTATCTGAGCTATTTCCTGAAGAGGGATTGGTCAGTGGTTGAGGGATATTGACTAGCCCTTGAAACACCGCATTCCTACACAGCAAGACTGCCCCTCATACTTCGCCTCTTCTGCAAATGCTCAGTTCTCTCTTCATTTTTCTGCCATGTTGAGGCCTGGGCAAGAGAGCCCTGGGTGGAGCCTGAAAAGATGGGGTCACCAATCTTGGCTTTTCAGTTTTTAAAATTTTAAATAGACAATTTTTTTTTTTAAAATAAAGTAGGTATTCTCTGGTGTGTTGTTAAAACAATATAAAAAGATTAAAACATCTAGTGTCCATAGATTAGAAAAATTAATGTTGCTAAAATGTATGTAGACATTTTATGTTATGATCTACAGCATAAATGCAATCCTTATGAGAATTATAGAAATGTATCTCATACTAATATAAAAAGTTATCCTAAACTTCATATGGAACTAGAAAAAGATTCAAATAACCAAATAAGTCTTAAGCCAAAAACACAGAGCTGGCAGTGACCCATTGCCTGACTTCAAAACTTTCTAAAAACCTGTAACAATCCAAATAGCATAGTACTGGTATAAAAATAAGTACATAGGCCAAAGAAACAGAATATAGACCCCAGAAATGAAGCCATGCATTTACAGTCCATGGGTTTTCAACAATGCCAAGAATCCACAACAGGAAAAGGACAGTCTAATAATCAATAATGTTGAGGAATCTGGATTGCCAAGTGCAATTAGATGCAAGCTCAGGCTAGGCACAAAAGTCAACACTAACTACAGTCTTAGCCACAAGACCTGAAGCCCCCAAATACTGCAAGAAAGCAGAGGGGTGCTCCTTGGAAGCTGTGCGGTGGAGTCAGTCACATATGCATCTCCTATAACTCCAGAAACACAGCAGAAAGATGAAAGGGATCACATTAAATAAAAAACTTCTGCCCAGTGAAGGAAACAAGGATGAAGGAGAGAACCTGTAGACTGAAAACAAAAATAAAAACAGTTACAAACCATATGTCTGATGAGTGTAAATACTCAGTGTAAAGGAACTCAACCCATTGTGAAAGTAGAAATATACTGATTTATTTATTTATTTTGTGTGTGTGTGTGTGTGTGTGTGTATACATGTGGGTGCATATTGCTTATGCATATTGCATATTGCTTATGCATATTGCATATTGCTTATGCATATGCAGGCCAGTGGCAGATGTTGGGTGTCTTTCTCTATTGCTCTCCATTTTATTTTTTTAGGCACAGTCTCTTACTGAATATGAAGTGCTCCGTTTTGGCTAGCCTGGACGGTCAGTGAACAAGATGACAAGGATTCTCCTGCCTCCACACCACCAGTACTGGGGTTACAGACATGTGCTGTCATGCCAAGCTTTTGAATATGGGTGCCAGAGATCCAAACTTGGGTCCTCATATTTATGCAGTAAGCATTTTACCCATTGACATGTCATCCCAGTCATGACATCTTCACTTTTAAAATTAGGTAAAGGACATAGACAGAAATTTCTCACAAGAACTCAGAATTCGTTACTTAATGTATGAAGAAATGCCTCAACATCACTCATCATTAATGAAATGGTAAGTAAAACCCCAGCAAGCCCATCTCACGTGTGTTAAAATGGGTACTGTCAAGAATAGGGTAGACAGCTGGGGAGGAGAAAAGTGAATCCTCGTGCACTTTAGGCCAGGATGTGAATTGGTATAGCCACTATGGAATACAGCTTGGACACTGTTCAAAAGACTAAAAACACACTTTATAAACTAGCAATCCCACTACTGGACATTTTATATATATATATATCACACACACATATATATATTCAATGGAAACAAAATCAATCAAAGGGACATCCATGGTTATTCGGATTGTACCACACATATCAAAAGCTTTGAAGCTAACATCTGCATATAAGAGAAAACATATTTATCTCTCTGTTTGGGCTACCTCACTCAGGATTTTTTTTCCCCTAGATTCATCTAGTTACCTGCAAATTTCATAATTTCACTCTTAACAGCTGAATAATATGACATTGTGTAAATGTACCACATTTTTGTATTCATTAAGGCGAGGGGCCGGGAGGGTCTTCTAAGGAAGGGAAAATAGAATTTATTTTATTTGGTAAAGAAGGGAGTAGAGGGAGGGAAAAACTAACACTAAAGGGCATTTAAAAAACCATACATAGGGAAACCTACTACTGTAGAAGCCTCTTCCTAAAATATATATGTGAAAGGAATATAAATGGAGTCTCCACTCAATAAGGGAGACAATGCCCCAACTAGACATCTTATGGCACCAAGTAAAACCTTTAGTGCCAGCAATGTTGAGTTGTTGGTCAAAGGGGGGTCCTGTGGAAATCTCCCCCCATCCCTGCCAAAACATCACAGCTATTGCCAAGACTACTCATTGCTTTCCACAACCTGGTGGCAAGGCTCTTGTGCTGATGGTAAAAAGTAAATTAGGTATAAAACTTTAGACTCACAAAGATAAGATAGAGAAGAGTATTTTCTCTAATTTTGCCAAATACAAATGGCTATTGTAACTGTAATTCTTATTTGACAACTGTTTTTGTTATATATAGTTTTACTATGTTAAAGTTAAAACCTTCCTTTTTATTTAGGCAAAAAGGGGGAAACACTGTGGAATAATCCTTCTGTACCACTGTAAAAATGTGTTGCTCTCATTGTTAATAAAAGACTGAGTGGCCAATAGCCAGGCAAGATTTTCAAGGTAGAGAGAATGCCGGGAAGAAGGGCAGAGTGAGAAGAGTCACGATCCAGAGGCAGAAGAAGCAACATGAAAAGTTCATAGATGAGGTAAACAAGCCTTGGTGCTGCATATAGAGTAATAGAATGGGTTAAATTAAGTTTAAGAGCTGGCTGGAGACAAGCCTAAGCTATCAGCTGAGCATTTATAACTAATAATTAATATTAAGTCTCTTGTGGTTATTTGGGAGCCACTGCTGGATCACAGAAAAACTTTGCCTACAGAAGATAACGCTTACTTATGTCATCAAAACTTGTGCCTAACTAGAATTTTGGCACCTACTGAGTAACACTCATAGTGCTGGAAGGTAACCATCAATATAAGCCAGCTACAAGTCCTGTGACCTACACCAGTGACCTGCCTGCAAGATATACTGGTCCAATAGTCACACAAATGTTCTGGGGGCAAAAAAAAAAAACACCTTTTAAAATTGGACATAAGGTCCAGTCCATGAGATGAAACCCACACTGCTAGAGTGGACAAGACCCTGAGACTAGATAGGTCACGGTCGCTAGGGGGAAACCTATACTATTATTCTGCTAAAGAACATGGCAATAAAACGACTCCTCGGGACATACAGCTGCAGCCATAGATGCCTCCCTCATTTCTCATCAAAGAAGTTTCTTCTTAAAATATATAGGAATTAACACGGAGACCCACAATAGGACCTTGTGCAAAGAGTGAGAGATTTTGGAGCACTCAGTCCTAAGGAGGACAGATTGATCAAACCCCTTCCCCAAAGGTTCAGGGAGCTATGAGGAAGAGGGGAAGGAAAGGTTTTTAAGAGCCAGAGGGGACAGATGACTCCAAGGAAACTCTCTTCCATACACAACAGGACTGATGCACGTAGGAACTCCCAGAGAGTGTGACCATTTAAGATCTACACAGGTGTAAGTCAGGCAGGGCCCCAGACGGAAGGAAGTGGACAAGGGACTTTACCCTTAACTAAGAAGCTGTTTGGAATTGACACCCACTGTCAAAGGGAAAATCAGTTTTCTCCAATGGAATGTCACTGGGTGTATCAACCACACTCCAGGACAGGCCTCATGCTCTGGAGTCATTCACCAACTCAAAATTAACTCCATACTTTATTTTGTTTACAGACTTTTTGTTTCATTTTGTTTCAGCTTCTTTACATCTTATTAGTCTCTTTTGCTTGTTTTGATTTTTATTTCTGTGCTTTTTTTTGGGGGTGGGGTTCTCTTAAAGAGAGAGAGGAAGAGAAAATAAAGTTGGGTGGATAGGGAGAGGAAGTTCTGTTAGAAGTCGGAGGAAAGAACATGAAGAAAATAAGATTTAAAAAATTAATTTAGCCACTTTTAGTCTTTTAAATTGTAAGGCATTTCTATAATAAGTCTCAAATATTATTAAGGACCAGCCTTAATAATATTCTTCCCAGGTGCCTAGAAGAGAAGCTACAAATGGCAAGAATTATTTTCAGGATATGAATCTAAGTACACCAAGCTCTTTGTCCGTCTTCTTTATTCCTCTGGGATAAAATCCTATCTACACAGCTTCAGTTCTGTTCTTGTGCCTAGCTCCTTTCTTGCCCGATTTCTCTCTACCTTTATCTGCTGTCCCCTCTAAGTTCTTTCTTAATTCTCTCATCTTAATTCTGCCTCATCTAGGTTCTTCTTATCTCGTTCTTACCCATCTAGTACTTCCCCATCTGGCTCTTCCTCATCTTCCATCTCATCCTCAAGTTCTCTAGGGTATTCAGTTATAAACCCAAGCAATAGCAATCCTCCCCCTCCAGCCAGGTCACCAGGCTTGAATTTCTACAAGGTCATAAAGGCAGAAAAGAGATCTCAGGCAGTGACTGTCAGGCTTTCTTTTACAATCCAAAAATGGATTGGTTAAAGGAGGAGGTCAACTGAGAGCTAATATTGATTAGCATATCAAAAATGGGATTTATGTGCTCAGTCTACATGCCTAGAAGTGCTTAGGTAAGAAGTTAGGAGTCTATAATGTTAGTAAGGTTGTATAAGAAAGGAGAGTCTCAGCTTAAATTGCCCAAGAAATAAAGCTATCTGCCTGACCTAGGAGATAGGCATTGTTTCCATGAGGGTGTTACCTTAGTTCAGGAGATCATTTGCCCTTGGATGCTTCATAGGTATTTTGGATAAATACACTGTTAGGAGTTCTTGGAACCACACATAGCATACAAGAAAGTCATTGTAGGAACCAGCTAATATATATACAAAAGCTAAAATATCATCAAGACTTCTTAAACCACAGCTTGACCTTTGGAAAAGTCCTTGACCTTTCCAAGTAGTAGCTTTTATGATAGTAGCTGGATTCCAACACATTTTTCTGTGCTTGCGGCAAATAGATAAGTGACAGGTAGATGTAGACGAATTTCTAAACAGTTTTATTAAATAAGAAACACAGAGCCAAATACAGGGGTGATAGCCAAAGAGATCAGAGAAATATCGAAGAGCCACTGACTAACTTGATCTTACCACCATGCTGTAGCTTCCCAAGAGAGAGCTTCTTCCTGTCTAACTTGCGCTTTTATTGCCTTCTTGTTCTGCCTTCTCATTGGCTCTTAGCCCAGCCACATGACTTCCTCATCACTGCCTGTCTATACAGACCTCCAGGTCTCTATGGTTGGTACTGGGATTAAAGGTGTGTGTCACCACACTTGGCAGTGACCACACAGAGACTCTGCCTGCCATGTGATCAGATTAAGGGCATGTGCTACCACTGCCTGACTTCTGTTTATGGCTCACTATGACCTCTGAGCTCCAGGAAAACTTTATTAACATACAAATAAAATATCACATTTCAGCACAAATAAAATATCACCACAGATAGATGATGATAGATGGTAACAGAAAATAATCTTTACAATTAAGGTACTAAAACTACACACCACATGTTTTCTTACCAGCTAATAAACCAAGTACTTCCATCATCAGCTCCCTCCCAAAGGAGACACCTGCATTCCCATTGGCCTGAGAATTTTTGCAGCTTTCTTCTTCCTAGCTGAGATATGGAATCTACATGAATATGAATATACACTTGAAAAAATACCATCGAGGCCTTGACAAATAAAAGGAAATTTCATCAGTAGTAATAGGGATGAACCTAGGGCGCATTCTGCCAAGTAACACAAGCCAGGCTTGGAAAGAGAAAAGCTATGCAATCTCATTTACATCCAAAACAGATAATCCGGGTGGGCCTTAAGTGCCTGGCTAAGGGTTCAAAGAGATAGAAGAGAGAAAGCTAGCAGCTCCCATGTGAACAGCAGCTATAGGTCAAGCAGTTACTTGCTTGACCAGATAGTATAAGCCAATTCCAGGTAAAGAACTTTCGTAATACCTACGCCTCCTATAGGTTCTCCATCCTCACTCAGCTCTGAAAGATGCTGTGCTATGTTAATCATCCTTATCTTACAGAGGGTATGAGGAAGTATAGACAGTACGACCAAGCCATACAACTAAATCATCCGAGTCAGAATCCATAGCTAAATGTCCTCACTCCAATTCTCCACTCTCATCTACAGCCTCCTTTTCAGGCCAGAAATCAGTCTCTTGCTCGTAACAAGTGATTTCCCCCACCAAATAGTGCTTTCGTATTCTATGTCCACAACAGCAAACACGGGTCATGTGATGAACTAAGCAGCTGAGGCGAGGTGGGATGAAGGGATGCAGGGAAAGAGAGAAAACCAACCATAATTCTCTCTGCTTTCTGCTTGGAGTATGCCCAACATCTCTGTCGGGGGAGATGCCTCGATTTTAAATCAAGTCCATGGTTTTCACTATTACAGGCTATGAAACTTGTAATTTGTGAATGAAGAATGTGCTGAAATGTGGAGTAACTGGAAGACTTGGACTATGTAAATCTGACCAGGAAACTCTTGGGATACTGAGTCTGTCCTCCATGGAAGAAATTGACCCTAGCAAATAAATATAAACAGAAAGTAGAAACAAAAAAAAGCAAAATAAATAAATAAATAAATAAATAAATAAATAAATAAATAAATAAATAAAAAGTCAGAGTCTTCGTGGAGTCGAAGGATGGTGTGAGCAAAGCAAGCCTGTTCTGTGTAACTTTCATTTCATTACTTGTAAGGGTTCCATAAAATCATCCTCGGTCCCTGTAAGTTAGATGCCTACGTTCTTCTGACCGCACAACCCTGCTTCGTCTTGGAACATTCTCTCCAGGTTAGGTGCTCAGACTGTGACCTCTGCAAACCATAAACTATAAACTCTCTCCCCTCTCTGAGATTGCTCATTGTCTTGTGAGAGAACAATGACTGTGGAAAAGAAAAGAAAAAAAATGCGAGCAAACGACTGTGTGCGTCAGGAAATTACTCATTTTCAATCCCCCAGCTGTCATGCTCCTTAGGGTTACAATCTCAGCTCTACATTTCAAATGTTATTCTGTGGTCCTAAAATATAAGTAGAACATAGAGAGAAAATGCCGCTCCCCAAAGCTGAGGACTCAAATATGATTATCTGGATATTCTTTGTGAATGGACCTCATCTCTTTCACTTTCCTTGTCCTTCTCTTCTCCTTTCATTATTAATTTTTTTAAGTTTCAATTTAAAAGCCCTCATAAACACAGAAACTTCCATCTTATTCTTATTTTCAGAAGTGGTAATCATGTTCATAGTGCTATGAAACAGAAACCCATAACATTTCGTCTACCACGTTGAACGTCTGCGCTCATTATAGAGCCACACTCCATTTCCTCATGTCTCAGTTACTTCTGCTGCTGTGAGAAAATGTCCTTCAAAGCCTCAGGATCCATCTTGGATGAGGGAGCAGAAAGATTATAAAACCCAGAGGCTAGGAAGGACCAGAGTGAAGCATTGTTTTCTGGACATGGCTGGACAGCTGTCCTCATGAGCCCAGCACCTGTGACTGCCCCAAACCTGCACATTGTCGCCTGGAGGAAGAAAAAGGCCCATGATTTCCCACACACCCCTAATGGAGGAGCCATAGACAGCTTGAGGCTGGAGGAGGAAGAGTCAGTTTTCCACAGGGGTGTGGCACCTGGTGGCTTGACTGTGCTTCAGTGGACAGCTTCATATCCAGGAGTATATGAGTGACACAGATTAGACTTAACAGGTTATAAAACAAATAAAAATTTTAAAGAGAGGTTTTAAAGTTGGTAGGGGGATAGATCTTAGGAATTAGTGGGAAGTGGTATGGGGGTGAACATGATCAAAATATATTATATAAAATCTCAATTTAAAGATAAAAAGTTCAGGCAGAGCCAGGCGGATCTCTGTGAGTTCGAGGCCAGCCTGGTCTACCAAGTGAGTTCCAGGAGAGGCGCAAAGCTACACAGAGAAACCCTGTCTCGAAAAAACTAAAAAAAAAAAAAAAAAAAAAAAAAAAGATAAAAAGTTCCCTGATAAGAGCAGCTTAAAGGAGAAAGATTTTGGGGGAAATTGGGGGTGTTCATATTCAAGAGCACAGTTGATGGAGAAATTACAGTGGCAGGAGCCTGAAGCAACAGGTCAACCTGTATCCACAATCAGGAAGCAGAGAAGCAACTGGTCAACCTGTATCCACAATCAGGAAGCAAAGAAACAATTGAACACATGCTCTTGCTCAGGCCCCTTTCTCCATTTATACAGCCTAGAATTCCAGCCGGTACCACCCACAGTGGGTGGGGATTCCTCTCTCAATTAAACAGCAATCAAGATGCCCAGAGGCTCCTCTCCCAGGTGATTCTGTCAACTTGACAACACCAACCATCACACCTTTGTAAGATGAATTGCTGAATTGTTAAACTGCTAAACAGTCTTGTTAATTAAAAACACGGGAGCCAGATATTGGGGTGAAAACAGAGATCAGAGAGCAAGACAGCCACGTCTTACCTCTAGGTAATACTCAGCCGAAGAGAGAGCTACTTCCTGTATACTCACACATATATACCTTTCTGTCCCTGCCATCTTACTTTCTCTCTCCACCTAGTTACATCACTTTCCTCTTTCTGCCCAGCTCTATCACTTCCTGTCTGTACAGACCTCCAGACCTCTCTGGTTAACTAGTACTAGGATTAAAGGCATGTGCCACCACACCTAGCTGTGGTCCCAGTGTAGCCTTGGACTCACAAAGATCCAGATGAATCTGCCTCCTGAATGCTAGGATAAAAGGCATGTGCTACCACTGCCTGGCCTCTGTGTTTAATATAGTGCCTGGCTTTTTCTTCTGATCTCCATGCAAGCTTTGTTTATTAGAGCACAAATAAAAAAATCCGCACACACCTTCTTCCCTTACATTCTCTCTATGGTTTTAGTTAGTTGTTATATTCCAAATGAACAGAATCACAATTTTGGCCTATACTCGTCTGACTTATGTCACTTAGCATAATGGCCTCAAGGTTCACTCATGTTATACAACATACTAGAGCTTCCTTTATTTTTAAGGTAGAATAACAGTACATTGTGTGTATTTAACATGTTTTGTCCACCGTTCTTCTTACAAGGAACTTGGGATTTCCTTCCACTTCTAGGCTATTATGAATAGCGAGCGACACAATGAACCAGGGGGTGCGGATGTCTTTCTGTGACCAGTTAATTCTCTTCAATAGGCACCCAAAAATGAAATTACTATATCGTATGGTAGCTAATTTTCTCTTTAACCTTTATTTTCATTTTACATGTGTGGGTATTTTGAGCCTGTGCACCATGCACATGCTGTGCTCAAGAGGCCAGAAGAGAGAGAGCACTGGATCCCCTGGGACTTGAGTTACAGAAAGCTGTGAACTAACATGTGGATATTAGGAATCGAACCCGGGTCCTCTGGAAGAGTAGTCCCTGATCATAACCTCTGTCACCCCTCCAGCCCTGCTAATTTTCTTTTGAATAAACTGTCATGCTGCCTCCCATAGAGACTGTCTCTGTTAGATTCTTTCTTCCTCTCCATATAGAGAGCCTTTATTGTAATTTAAGGAGTCACAAGTCTTTTCCATGACAAGAGACATTTCCCTTCTATCTTTCACTGCTAAGAGTTAACCTTGGGCCGGGCGGTGGTGGCGCACGCCTTTAATCCCAGCACTCGGGAGGCAGAGGCAGGCGGATCTCTGTGAGTTCGAGGCCAGCCTGGGCTACCAAGTGAGTTCCAGGAAAGGCGCAAAGCTACACAAGAGAAACCCTGTCTTGAAAAACCAAAAAAAAAAATAAATAAATAAATAAATAAATAAATAAATAAATAAATAAATAAATAAAAAGAGTTAACCTTGACCAGTGGGTTGTTTTCAGTGGCAGGGTCCTGAGAGAGAGGACCAGGAGATAAGGAGATAAAGAGGAGAGAAGATGGAGAAGATGAGAAAATTTGGGATCGGGAGGTCTTGCACAAGATGTGTCTTATATGGGGCAAGCTCATTAAGGAGACCAGCATCTTATACACTATTTCCACAGGAGAAATGGGACAGAGCCAGCAGGGATGACCTCAAGAAGAAGCTAATCAAATGATATCACACAAAGGACACACAGGGTGTCTCAAGAACATTACAGTCTGGGCACACAGAGGCCTAGGGACTGATAACCATAGCCTCATACTGTGAGACAAGGTGGGTTCTCAGGGTCTGAGGCCACAGCTCCTACAAGGCCTTGGCCTCAGGCCATTACCAGCTCTATCAAGCATATTCCTGATTTTTGAGAAGGATTATGTTCCTTCCCTAAACATCAGGGCCTCAGGGAAAGGCTTGGTTCAGCCCAGTCCTCAACAAGGAGCGTTTGTTTATGTGCTGTGCTTGGAAATGAACTGAAGTCCTTGGCATGTTAGGCAAGGGTTCTATCTGAGCTCTAAGACCTGACCTTTGTATCTCCCGCACCAATAGACGTTCCACTGAGTCACTCACCAAGGATACAGTTCCTGTTCTAATCCAAAGTGAGGTCGTTGTTAGCTGAGAAAACACAGTAAGCCAGGCAAAGCTCCTGCTTGAGTAGTGATCTTGGATCTTCAGCACGCCCCATTTAAAATTCCCTGGTTCCTTCTCTTCACAACTCCAATCCCACAGAAGGCAAGATGGGTCTCCATGACGTCATGGAGTGATTATGCACAGCCATACTCTCTGTATATTGATCGTGTACCACCAATAGAGCCAATATAGCCATCAAGGCTGAGCTTGGGTAGGATGCAGAGACTAACAGAGGTTACAGTATACTGCATCATCAGGAAGCCACAGGCCTCATCTCTCCTTATCACTGGAAGATAGCACCAAAGTGTGGGTGAGAAACGTGAGTCTTCCCGAGTCACAGACACACCTACATCCCATTACCCTTTTCCAGTGGGCCCCGACTGTCTCTGCCTCAGGGTTTTTATAGAGATACCAAGGGGTGGAGCAAAAGACCTCCCCCCAGCACAGCCAAGTGCAGACCATCTCAGACACCTGCACTCAGGCCCGTGGTCCAATCATCCTCTATGCGGACCTCCTGGGTAAAGCCACGAGGAACCTGAAAACGGGCTCCCACAATACAATAAACCTCCTCCACCATACCTAGGAGCCGTCATGTCTCCTTTTTCTTCCTTTTTATTTTTATTTTTTTCCATTCACACTACACTCTCCCAAATGGCAGTCTTTCTGAGAAAACTGTTGCTGTTTACATGTTATTTCCTCACCTTGGCATTTCTTCTGTCGGAAATGACTGCCATAAAATTTTATACTTCTCCCTTACCTCTCAGGTCTAGGTCAGAGGTAGGGCAGAACTGAGGGACATATCCACTCATGGCAACGGCTGGAGTGATCTGACAATCCTTGGGACTCCATGCTTCACTCAGATGACTTTCTTTCCCACTTAATTTCTGTCCATGACACGAACGACTTGGAGGGAACAGTTCAAAATCAGTTCAGAGAAACCCAAAGCGGCGAATCTGCATGTCTGCCCATGTTTGTGTCCTTAGCTCTTGTCGATGGGGACCAAAGCTAGGGAGGGTCATCTAGGAGAGAACCTCATTTGAAAAAAAAACAGCTTCTACCAGACTGGCCTGCAGGCGAGTCTGTAAGGGCATTTTCTGCCTTAATGAGCCTCTGTCTGCCCCTCCACCCCTACCCCCCACCTCAAACCTCCATCTTTCATTAAAGCGAGTTTACTGAGGTATAATTTGCTTATAGGAAAATTAAATCTTTTAAGGTTCAGATGAATAAATTCTGAAAAATTCATAGAGCCAAGTAAATACCACAAACAAGAACAAGGTGCAAAACAAATCACTCTGTGGACCTCATTCCTTCAGACTTAACCCAGTTCCTACTTCCTTCCCCCGGCAGACACTGATCTATTTGCGGTTTCTAGAATTTTCTTCCCACTTCACCCCATTTTTGGCAATCTTTAGAAAACATTAGTTCTTAAAATCTACCACTATGGGCTGGAGAGATGGCTCAGTGGTTAAGAGCACTGACTGCTCTTCCAGAGATTCAATTCCCAGCACCCACATGGCAGCTCACAACTGTCTATAACTCCAGGATCCAGAACCCTCACACAGACATACATACAGGCAAAAACACAGATTTAAAAAAAAAAAAAATTAAAAAAAAAAATCTACCACTACAACCAACAGTTAGCTCATTGGCACCTTGAGAATTTTATGATGCTTTGCCTTACCTACTTTAATGGAAAACTCTTTAAGAGATAAACAGAATTCCATGTTACAGTCCCCAGAGTAAGTACTCAATAATTGCTTGTAGTTTTGCTTTTCAATAAATTACACCGTTTCTTTATTTTGATGGCTATGTTTAGCTGGCAAATACAAACTCAAACATTTTTAGAGACAAATGTTTGAACACACATACATTTTGTGTAACCAGACTAAACAGATCTGTCTTCTCAAGCACTGATCATCTCTTTATGGTGAAAACATTGAAAGTGTAGCTGAGATACAGAGCTCCTGTGGTGTAATGGCTAGTTTTATGTCAACTTGCCACAAGCTAGATTCATCTGAGAGAGGGGAGCCTCCATTGAGGACATGCCTCCAGAAGACCTGAATGCAGGTAAGCCTGTAGGGCATTTTCTTGTTTAGGGATTGATGCAGAGGACCCAGCCCATGGTGGGTGGTACCATCCCTGGGCTGGTGGTCTTGGGTTTTATAAGAAAGCAGGCTGAGCAAGCCAGTAAGCAGCACCCCTCCATGGCCTCTGCATCAGCTCCTGCCTCCAGTTTGTATCCCTGTTTGAGCTCCCACCTTGACTTGCTTCAATGATGAATAGTGATATGGAAGTATAAGCCAAATAAGCCCTTT